ATCCAGCCCATCCCCTGTCACGGCAGAGGGCTATGACAGGATCGAGAGGTGAGCGAACGCTGGTATCTGTTCACTCACCTCCTGATCTACTGAGCTGACTTGTGACAGTCTCATTGTCACAGGTCGGCTAGAACTATGAGGTGAGTGGAAATCACTCACCTCATAGTTCTCCTTTAAGTATAAAAGATGAGTCAAATAAATCAATACCAGATACGTCATAACTTACAATTGAGTAGGCCCACAAAATGGTGACAAACTACAATACCCAAAATTGTCCATATGCGATACTTTAAAATCTTTCCAGAATATGAATTTAGAGTTAGACATGTATAACCGCTATTGCATCCGTAATTTTGTTTACATGACAGCGATGGCAGTAAAATGGTTAAATGCATCTTTTCATTTATCTCCTCAAAAGACCATAACATACAAAATCATGAGGTAATGGTTTGTGTTGAGGCCAAAATATGCAAGCTCACAAAGGGTCCTCATGCCTGGTGAGTTTTACGTTTAACAATTTAGTACAAATTAAATAAAACAAAGGGTTCCCTGGGTATGATCAGGGACCAAGATCAGATAACCCATAATAAGCATTTTCTTTACTATTTTCAATACCCTGAATTTGGATGTTTAGATTTTATTGGAGGTTTTACCTGTCTTCTTTTGTGCTTTGTTGATATCACTTTCTCCATTGGCTACCTGCCTTCTGGGATTTGAAGATCCCTGTCTAGAAAACTGATGGAGTGTTTTGCCTAGTGTATTTACCTTGTCCAGAAGATGGTTATCTGAGCTTTACATGATTCCTATTGTAAAGCTGCTCTATTTTTCTCCTTCAACCCACAGGCTGAACGAAAAAAATTGAGCGGATTCCTCCATCAACCCTACCAGCGTGTCGATCGAGGAATCCCGCCGTTTGCATTGTATTTTAGAATTCCTGATCACAGTGGGTGGCTCATTGACTGGCGGCTCTGATCGTACGAAGACTTTCTGGCCCGCTCTTTCGTTCAGGGATGCCGACAGTGGCACTCAAAAATTGGCCAGAATTTGCACATTGTTTGGGCACCGTAAGTCTACAATGTAGTCTTATTTAAAAAAGTACACCTTCAGTTGGAACATGTTAGTGCCATAAATATATGGACAACCTGTGATATTACAATACCGGCATTCAAAATTTATTACAATTGCCAAGAATTTGGGGCATCCAGCTCACTGATTCATCTGACGGTACATGGTTGCATGGTAATTACAGAGCTTGTCAGGTGCCTTTTTGATCCCGACAGGCTGTAAAGGCCTGCATTGTATGTGGAAGAAGGAAGGATGGACTGATAGAGGAAGCCTGCTAGGTAGGGGGGTAAGGAAAGTATTACTCCTACTTTTTTTTATTTAAGATGTCCATGCTTAAAATAAACTTACTGTCAAAATGAAAGCTCTAATCTGAAATGTTTCTGGGGATGCATTCTTTCTGCAGCTTTTCTTTTTGTAGCTGTACACATACTTTGTGACAAGCATTTGCTGTGAAGAAATCACAATTTTGCTGTTCTTGGAATTGAATCAACAAGATAAGAGGAGCAACATTATTTTTTATATTTTTTACCACAAAGGTTTACGTATTGTTTTACCGAGTGACTGCTTTTGTTTAGTGACAGCATTTTCCACTGTGTTGCGTATGGTTACAAAATATATGGGATAGAATAACATTTTTAAGTATATTAGCAATGAGAAGTGCTGCAAAGATTAAATATAACATAATAGAGCTTTTTAATAGTTAAGGAAAAATGGTGCTTAATTCAGTCCTCTACCCGAGTACAAATATAGCTTTCAGTATGCAGTGTTTTTTGCTAGAAACTGATCTGTCAAGTCAAGCTGGGGAGCTACTAAGGCATTTTGCAAATTAGAAAAAAATAAGTTATTAAAGTAAACAAGGTTTAGCAGACAATAGACAGTGCATATAATTTGTTTGAGGATATGTCAAGCCAAAATAGCCAGAAACTCTCCAAAAATGTTCCCATTTTTGCACACTTCCTTTGGCCATGCAGATACCACTTTGAGAATTGGTTTTTGCATAAGTGTTTGGGGAGGACTCAGGGCTATGCTGGAGTGTCCCCTTCTAAAGCATTTTTTTTTGCTGGTTAAGTGCAGAAGTAAACTCAAAAAAATAAAAACATTGCTAGTAGGTAAGGATTTTTGACAGAAGAGCCATGCAAAGTTGTTTGCCAAAAAACGTCTTCCTCTTTTCCCAAGCAGTTTTTTATTTTCTGTGTTCACTGTGTGGTGCATACTGCTTGCAGTGTACACACCTAAGGTGCCCATACACCTAATCTCGGGAAATCCTGCGATCAAACGATAATCGCAAGGTGTATGGAAGGCGTGCAACCGTTTTTTCTGTACGGTCGCACGTCTTTTGTCGAACCAGCATGCTAGAAAACCCACCGAGAATCGTGTGATTCTCGGCTGGGTTTCTAGCCTGCTCATTCGACAACTGCACAACGGGCCGGTGTGTGCACGCGCACACTGCCCGTTCAGCATTGCGGTCAAAAGTCTTGCGATGGTCATAAGGTGTATTGGCACCTTTAGTTTATTAACAGCATCACCAAGATGCTCCGAATGGGCTTGATGCCAGGGAGGGTGTGAGTATCACTACCAGTGACCACCAAATGGCCAAAAAGAATGCCTGGGATTCCAGAAGTGGTGGTGGTGGAGGAGATGGCAGAGGATTCATCCCGCAGCGCTGAAAAAATGGCACACTTATCAGTGTGCCATAATTTGCAAGTATCCTGTGCATGGAAAACCCCACTCAGCACACAGCAGTTTACTACAGCTTTAAGCGGTCGATGAACTAAGACATACCTAGTACAGGCTAGAATCCTTCCCACCTGAGCACATGACACCCTAGGACAGTGGTGGCGAACCTATGGCACGCGTGCCAGGGAGGGCACGCGAGGCCTTTCTGGCACGCGAGGCCAGGTTCAGGCCACAAAACATTAAGGCAGCCGGCGGGGAGAAATCGGCGGGCGAGCGAGCAGGAGGAGAAGGGGGACGGAGCGGCAGGGGGTGGAGACAGAGGGAGATGGGGGCGGAGCTTTGAGAGGACGGGAGGAGCCGGGGGACTGAGCGGCATGAGACGGCTGGAAACGGAGTGAGATCGAGGTGGAGATGAGAGGACGTGAGGAGACGGGGACGGAGCGGCAAAGGCAGAGACCGCCATGGAGGAGGCGTCGCCAAGGGGCCAGTCGAGCGGCGAAGCTGAGACGATTGGGCGCCGAGGCAGCAGTGAAGGCTGGGCTTCCCGTGTAAGGTGGGAGCACTGTGCTGGCAGGGCCCACCATAGATTAACCTTTTAGGGTCTCAAGCTTGTGCAGGATCTGTGGTGGGCCCTCCCACCATAGACCCCGCAGAGCTCACCACAAATCCTGCTAAGCCCCCCTGAGACCACAGCTTTCCTGCTATGCTAATAGCGGAACATGTCAGAAGCTGGATACAGTGTTTGCACTGTATCCAGCGACTGACAGGTCACGCAAAAAGTATTAAACAGGAAGGGGTGGGGTAAATTTAGTGGGGGTGGGGGCGCCCGTGTTTTGCCTTGCCTAGGGCAGCCCCAAACCAAAATACACCACTGCGTTCAGGGACCACCAATTGAAATAGATCCGACTGACCCGGATCGCCTTGGTATGCGATTCGGGCCAGTCACAATTAGGCAGCGGCAGCCAATAAACAGGTAGGTTAGACGGCTGCTTCCTCCTCGCTAGGACCCCGGGAGGCCCCCGCAAGCGGCCGTCTAATCTGCCTGTTTAGAGGTCACCGCCGCTGCCTGATTGTGACCGGCCCGACTACAGAGGCGATCCGGGACGCTCAGGTCCCCCGTGAGAGCCGTACAAGGCCGTTAGGCAGTGATGTTGAACGTTTCTTAAACCCGAGCGCACAAACTGCAATACCAAACTTATTTTCAGCGCTGGCACTTTGAGATAAATAAATTGATTTTGCGTCGCAGTTTGGGCACTCTGGTTCAAAAAGGTTCGCCATCACTGCCCTAGGACCTGGTCTGCTCTAGCAGAACTGCTATAAGCAACTATTTTATTACTGATGGGCAGAAACGGGTGCTTCTCTCGGTGATTGTTAAAATGTAAACAGATATGCTTTGTTAGCTCCAGCTCCAGCATTGCTGCATATCATCTCTTAAGGCAGGTTTCCTGAAGGTGGCAACAGTGAACTATTCTGTACAAGGTATGTAGATACATGGGAGGATCACCAGGTATTATTTTAATGCAGATTCAAAATAGTGAAAATGGCTCCGATCAAGAACAACATCATTGCTAAACTTACATAATAAGGTTTAAAGCACCAGGTGTTTCATTTTTTGGCCATCATTACCTGCGCAGTGAATGTTAGTGTTAAAATCCATTACTAGCTACTGATGGTCAGGTCTGCAGTAATTGTTGGTGGTGGAACGTTCATTGTTGATTGAAACTGCATTGCAAGTAACGACTGTTGTATTGTCAGAAACCCATACTAGAATTTTGTATGAAATAATTTAGTTTACATTTGCAGGCTCAAACAGCTCATCTAAACCCTGTCCTATATGCACTACATCCATATTTATGGCAATATTTTGTGTTTTCTGTACAATTGGGATGGCCTGATATGTGTGCTGCTCCTGCTTTGTTGTCCAATCATAGCATGGTCTATAACCCACCCCAGCTTGTTATTGGACCATGAAGGAACAGCAGCACGCAAATGAGGGTATCCCTTCACTCTCACCTCTTATAAAAATATTTTATTGTATTAGACTAACAGACCTATGCAAATAATTAGAGCCTGCTTGATTCTGAGCACTGCTCCCATCTCCCATTCTGAGCACTGCTTTGCAGGGTATGACGGGAGGCTGATATCTACTGATTCTGTTACTGATGCAATTTCTATAGAACTTTTTTTTTTTTTTAAGAAATGCATAACTGAATTAAATTCATTCCAGTTTCAATTGTTTTGTATTGTCTTGTATACAGGCTGCTCTGTATGGATGTGGCTGCTGGGCTGAAAACACTGGAGTTCACAACCCATATTCTACAGCTGTGAGTACTTCAGGTATTTACTGCTTCCATTTAATGATTACTTACTGCTACTTTTCTCGGGCGAGTGAGTAAAGAAGAACATGTGTGTGCCACATAGGCATTCTGTGCACAGCTGTATCTGTCAGTGCTATTTCAACTCTGTTCTATTTATACCCCTTGTTTCTTCACTGTGCTCAGTGCATCTGTAAGTGTCATCTGCATTGAATCTTCCTCTGTCCTTATTGTTTTATTTAGTATCTGATTTCTTTGTGTCTCGGAATCAAAACACAATTTATAGAGAGATCTTTACGTAAATAAACCTACTGATGTGCTCGTCTTTTACCTTCTTGCTTTAGTAAATTACAGGCTCACAACTTTGCTTTCACCTACATACAGTATATAATAATTTTATTTTCCCCATGTTTTAGTTCGTCACCACAATATCCTTTCTTTCAAAAATGGAAATTACTCTATTTTATAAGGAGCTCTTATACATAGTTACGTAGTATTTGGGGTTGAATAAAGACATAAGTCCATCAAGTCCAACCCATATAGGTCCACGCATAATCTCATTCTTAGGAATACTTGTACCCCTGTATATTACGGCCCCTCAGGAAATCGTCCAAAGGTTTCTTGAACATTTCCACACTCTTAGCTGAAATCACTGCCGGTGTTGCCAATGTTGCTGTCACCATGAAAATCATATCCCTCTTTATATTGCAACACTAAAGATGTTCTTCTATCGCAGCCCCCTTGTAAACATTAGTAGCACCCCTCTGTAGCTGCTCTTTACAGTGCTTTCCCAGTCTGCTGTCTGACTATTAAAGTTCAACTGAACTTTTAGTTTCTGCTAAATCCATTCCTGGTGCACCAAAACAAAAGGAGCTCCAAGTCCTACAGGTAATTTTCTGTAGAAAATAGCCACAGTCGCAGTACAAAAGTCTGCCCCTGCCAGCATTCTGCAAAGGAAGGGCTCTTGTTGTCTGTGGGGAAGCAATGCTCACTTTGCAGAGGTCCCCCCCACACCTGAGTCAAGCCTCTAGGTCTGCAATCAGCAATGCTTGTTCTCCCTGCTGGGTGGAGCAGGGGGGCTTCTACATAGAGACCATTGCTTTCCACAAACAGCAAGGGCCCTTCTCTACACGCTGCTAGGGGAGCAAGCAATTGTACTTTAAAAGAGTGGTTTCAAAAATATCTAAAAATTCCATTTACTTTTTTTGTGTATTTTATTTTAAAACCAATTAAATCATCTTAACTGGTATAATTATGTGAACTCGGCTGATATAGAATGCCTATAAAAGTAATTCTCATGTTTCATTGTCATAGAGCATCAAATCTTACTGGATTGATTGATTTTTTAGATAGATTAACAGAAATATATTTTTTGTCAGTGTAAAAACAGATATCTGTAAAGCAATTTAAAATTATTATATACAGTGAAGAAGAAACTGACTGTATATAGTCTTTCCATAATTATACAACCCCCTTGAAGTTAGCAATTAGTCAATAGCCTCGAGTCTGTGTAGACAGGTCGGTGTCAGCTTTACATATGTGGAAATTGACTTTTCCCCATCCCAATTTTGCAAAACTGCTCCAGCTCTGTTAGGTTGCATGGGAGTCATAAGTGACAACTTTTTCAAGTCCAACCATACATTCTCTATAAGATTGAGATATGGACTTGGTCATTCAAGTACACTGCTATTTTTAAACCATTCTTCAGTAGTTTTGGCCTTTATGCTGAAGGTCATTGTCTTGCTGGAAGAAAAATCTTCTCCTTAGGCTTGTTTTTTTTTTTTGCAAACCATCAGGTTTTCCTTCATGGTGTGTTTATCATGTGTATCATGTGGTGTGTTTATCATGTGTATCATGTGGTGTGTTTATCATCATGTGCAATGTTTGGCATACAGTAAAGAGGATGGTTGGTCTGATGGCCAGGAAGGCTAAATTTGGTCTCGCCAGACCATAGAACCCTGTCCCAGCTGACTTGTCTTCTAGATGCCTTCTGGCAAACTGTAGAAAATATGTCATGTGCACTTTAGCCATTAGTAACTCTCCCATAAAACTGCAACTTGTGAACCCCTTGGACAACATTTGTTGGATGCATAGTCTTTCCCCCTCCTGCCACTGCCGGCCACAATTTGACAGCCTTACCTGCCCTATCCTTCCTGTCGGAGCCAGTCCATGCTCCGGTCTGTGTTCCCTCATATTCCCACTGCTCTCCCTCACCTGTATGGGCAGAGGCAGCAGATATCCGAGGAGAAGCAGTCTGCTGCACCCGGCGAGCTGGCAGAGGAGAGAGCAGTGAGATTCAGGATGCCAACCAGGGAGGAGAGCCGCTGTCAAAATTATGCAGGCTTTACGAGTGATGATTTAGGTGTCTCATATTTAGGGGGTGTATACTTATGCAGTCATTTATTTTCTGTTTGGTTATTGTAATTAATTTAACTGTGTGGTTATCTTTTTCACATTGACAATGAAAAGTATATTTCTCTGATCAGGATAAAAAAAAAAAACATTCACTCTGATTCAGTGTTCTATGACAGTAAGATATGAAAGCTTTCAGAGTGTAAATATTTTTCTTAGACACTGTAATTACCATAAATTTCTCAATACTGAGCTGGCATGTGTGATTAGCTGTGGACTATTACCCGAAGGTGCTGGAGAATATTTTAGTGTAATGACCTGTTTGAAGTCTAGGCTTGGTGGCAACCACTGCTCCCTTTTTAGGCACAGTGGAAGAATGACTAGCTACTCAGGGACACAAAGTGTATTAGTCACAGAATTACCAGGTGAAATGAAGAAAACAATGCCTGAAAAAAATAATACGGCTTCCCCAATCTACGGAATAGTAACCTTTAATATATGACATTTTTGTTTTTGAATTTAGTTATACTTTAAAGTAGCACATTTCAGTTTTCTGTGACCTTCATGGAATTTTCATGGGATTGGAAACTCGTCCATCTACCTGCCACAGTTCTGACAGAATGGGCAGAGAACTTCTCATTCAAATTCTGGAGAACTGTAAAGAGTGTGTGCCATACCCTGCACCTTTCCAGCAAATTCTCTGGAGGTTCCAATTTTCTCTTTTTTGTTGATTGTCACGCATCATTCATTGCTTGAAATTTGTAATTTGTCTGTTAACATTCATTGCTTAACCCTTGTCACATGCTTTTACTTTGATAAATATTTAAGTCTGATGAATGATGTTACCCTGTGTAAAAGTCTGTGATGTCCTATGCATTTGTATCTTTGTAAAAGTGAGCTGTTTGACTTAAGAATGATTAGTCGCTTGCACAGGGTATGCTTTATCAAGAACGTCCAAATGAAGAGAACACACTTTAACAAATGTTAGCTTGATGATTGTGTGGCTTAACCATCTGCTTGCTAAGGGATCAGCCTATTGATTTGTGGTATTTAATTGGAGCTCTCTCTCTGTTTAAGAGATTCTCTCTCTCTCTCTCTCTCTGTTTAAGGAATTCTTTTAATTTTTATGTGGCAGTGATTTCTACAGGATGTGGTTACTATCTTTAAATTAAGGCATCCAGCTTCAAATTGGAAGAAAATATGGATATATAATTAAGCAGTGTTAGAGAAGGTTAATGAAAAACTCCCATGTGGGATCTGCCTTTTCCTTAATAACCTTTCATCGTTACTGGCTTTGCCATCACTTGAGTGATGGTTGAAGCTTCAAGAACAATTACAGAGTGTTCAATGGTCTCTTTGGAGGCACTGATTTTATATTCAGGAAGTACAACTTCTTACAAAATTTCCTGTAATTATTATTTCTACTTGTTGGCATAACTTTCTCATTTCCTTTTGTAATGTTTGTTAGTAAATTGTAAAAATATTTTACCTTTCTTTGGGTATTGGAGCAGAAACCACTGTGAGATTTATAAAAACTTTCGGAGACTTAAGTATCTTTACCTTATTTAGCAGCTGATCAGACGTTGTTGTATTACCACTTATTTTAAGGTGCTTTGGCCTTTATAAATCAAACAACTATTGGTTAGGCAAGATGCATATTGGAAAGCGCACCTTTAAATTCATTTATTTTAAATATATTTTCATATTTCTTCGTTTATAAACATTTATACATTTTCTCAAGAACAAAGAATTTTACATACAACATCCAAGTATTCACATCCAAGAAGAAGAAGAAAACATTTAAAAAAAACTGTCCCCCCCCAAGCAAATCAATTTATGTTTCGATACCTAATCATCTTCGCTTTATGATGCTCTCGTTTACCTTAATATTTTCAGAGACATAAGTGTGTATCCTTATTACAATGTCATAGTATTAATCTCTTTATTTCTAATAATCTAATAACATCCATTATGTAATAATATGCTCTATATAAAAGACTGTATAAACAAACAGTAGGTCATGTGTTCCCGCTTAGGGTATACCAAGTTCACTTATTGAAAATAAATTACTTTGGCCTACTATTCCACTGTATGTATGTCCCACCCAACCTGATTTAAGAGATGAGAGGATAATATATATAAGTGCAATCCTACTTACATATGTGGTTACATCCAATATTGTTTTACCACTTGCATTACCACTTTTTTCAAGGTGCTTTAGTCTCTATACATCAGACAACTATTGATTAGGCAAGAGGCATGTTGGAAAGCACATCTTTTAATTAATTTGCATTTTTTTTAAATTGGTTACAAGAACTCTGTTCATCTGACAGATTTTTGGTGCCCATTTTTAAATGTATGGTCACCAAGTACAATAATACTGTATTAACTGGCCGTACTGAAATAAATGGGTGTATAAACATTCCTCAGGTTTGAGAAGGGCTAGAAATTGCATTAAATCAATGTATTATGCAAGGATAAATAAAAACATAAATGAGCAAATTTCAGATCAAAGCTGTACTTTAGGAAAAATAGTTAAATACATTAAATATATAGAGGACTGTTCTACCTGCCAAAGTATTTGTATTTCTGGCTATCTTTTTATGAGATTTACAGCCAGTTCTGCTGTAGTTAATTAATACAGCCAGATCTGGTCCCTCCACAAGATGT